TACGGAAGTTGTTGATCTCCTAGAAAATACGGAAACCGAGTGTTGTGTCGAAGGGATACGATAGTACATTTTGATGCGTTAAATCACATTGTCTGCCACAATGGATTCCATGACTTTAGATAATACGGGGAGGAGAGTAACGGGGCGGTAGTTAGCTGGGTCAATACGACAACCGCCCTTGTGTATCGGAGAGATTATCCTTTGTTTCCATGTTTTTGGGAGCGCAGTTTTATTGAACATTTGTTGGAATAGTTCGCTTAATGGTTAAGCTAAGTTACTTGCCAGGTTGATAAGGGTTTGTGGATGGATATTATCTACCCCTGGAGATGAGTTCCTTTTCAAACACTGCAGTTTCGATGCAACCGTTTCTGGGGGGAAAATCCATTGTGATGAGCACTGGTTGTGATGTATCCTCAAGTAACAGAAACAGTCGTAGTTCGGTGTTCGCAGGTGCGGTGAACACTTGAGCGTACTGACGTTTTAGCATTTCAGCTGCATCCTTTGTTGTGACTGAAACACGTTCTGCAACCCTTAACGCTGGAACACCAGACGTAACTTTTCTGGTGGCATTTATGTGTTTGTACAACAGCTTGGGATTTGATATGAACTTGCGCATGAGCATTCCTTGATTTATTAACTTGTCTTCTCGCGCCAACTTGGTGCAGTGGTTTCGGAGTTGACAGTAGGTATACCATGTGTCTGTAAGAGGTCGGTCACTAATCCGATTGTTCACCCTGACTAGTCTTGAGTCTAAGCTTAATAACTAAGCAAATGCGAATGTTCAGCAGTGCTTGAGGAGGCAGCCGGGCTTTGCCTTGCTAGAGGTCTCTACCGTAAAACACCTCCAGGCATGTAGGTCCTACAGTGACTTGCTGACCGCAGCTGATCATCATATAAGGCTGTAGTGATTGTAGTAATAGTAGTAGTATTATGCAGTGAACGCGAAATACGAATCAAAGATTAGCAACCACAGACGTCATATAAGCACTGGATCACACTGCGACTTGCACGCAACATCCCACGTAACCGAGAAGCTGGGAAAAGACCAAAAGAATGATAGTTCGTTTATTGAAGGAAATAAGAGGGATTGAACAGTATGTACGAAACAAGCTCATTGGTTATCCGGGCGTCTGCCAATCG